TAAAAGAATATCTATAAGAGGAATTGGAGTTAATCTATAAGGTTACTGCCCACTCTTCCTTCAAATCCCCAAATGAGAAAATCGGCCAAATGCCATGGCTGGCATGTTGATAGTTACTATTGCTTTACTTAAAATTACTATTGCTTCCTTTTCCTCACCCTCCACTTTTTTCCTCTTTGCTTGTTCTCTTAATTTTTTAGCTAGTCACAGTGGAAATGTTTTACTATTTTATTGGACAGTGCCTAGCCAGCTGTGGGCACAACCATAATGCTCAAATTAAATGATATCTATTAAAATATTCTCTAATTGTATTTAGTGTGCTTGCCACTTTTCCCCCTCTCATTCCAATAGCCTTCACTGTAGTTCCCTAGTTCCTAGGAAACATGCACAAAATGCAAATACAAGATGAAAATTATGTATTCTTTATCTAGCCCTGGTGTCATCCTACGGTCTTTCCTGAGTCATTTTTAAAATTTCATCCCAGTACTTAATTACAACAAAGTGTGAATTACAAAAAAAGGAAACACCAGCCTGAGGATAGAAAATATGAAGCTGAGGGGGGAAAATATCGATCACGAGCAAGAAACTGCCAATAAAGCTAATGGTTGCTGGGCCATCAAGAGACACAAATAAAAGTGACAGAATTCATCAGCAGATGTAAAAGAAATATAGTATAATGAAAATCTAAAATGGAAAAATAAATTGTGAGAGGTCATGAAACAATAATAATTTGCATCAAATCATCAACTGGTTTCTGCACAGATAGAAGACGACTCTTAAGAGGCATTATAAAAATATTTGAAGATGTGTTTTAAGATAGACATGAATTAAAAGCAAAGCAATACAATTTGTGTATTTCGTTCCATCACGCACGCACATACACACGTGCATGCACACTCTACCCACATTTATGGAATCAACTTTCCATTTCAGGTCCCCTCCCATCCTCCTTTCCTTTTGTAGGAAAAGACTGATTTTAAAGGTTAGTTTGGAAGCTGAGGGCAGAGTAACACAAATGCAAAATCAATAGCATACATATTTTGTCCTGTATTTGCATGCTGGACCTGGTTCCTTACAAGTGCTGCGAAAGAAAGTATAGACTATAGAATGAGAAAATGGGAGGAAGAAACAGGCAAGTACAGTAAATAAGATTAGGGGATGTTTTGAAAATAGAGTAGCAAGCCAGGATATGTAATAGCCAACTTCACTTTTAGTCTCAACAACGCAAGTTCAAAGATATGAATTATTCAAGAATATCCTGTCTTTAGCCAACATTGGTAATCTGGTACATCTCTTCCTTGTCTGGCCAATGTTTTTTCCCCTTCACTTCCCCATATAAGCAGTACAGATAAATGCTGCTCCACCAGCACCGTCATAAACAGAAGGAATGCGAGACAGACATAAGTAGATCCTTGAAGCCTAAACCATACATCGCAGGTCAAAATTGGTTTAAATTTAGTTTTGCTGCACTTCCTGCTGCTTGCCAGCAATAAATGGCAATTGCACTTTAAGCCTACACTCTACTGGGCACCGAGCCATTTTTAACTGTTTTTGATGGCAGACTCCTCAAAGATGTATTTTAAAATATGCGGGCCGTAAAGTAACTCAGTGAGGCCAAAGCCGTGTTCTAAGGAGGCCCTATTTCACAAGAGGAAGCATGCTTTTATAGAAAAGCAGGAGAGAGCCACACATTAGTAACATAAAACTTTCCCATGGAATTTCAATAGCAATAACAAATTGCTTTGATAAAATACCAGGAGGATTCACAGATGGTTTTTAGGCTATCTACTGAGATAGAGAAAATTCTGACTGATGTGTAAGTCACTGCTCAATCCCTCTGAAGCTCCCTAAAATTCTGTCTCATGACCTTCTCTAGATATATTAACCTTGCCAAGTTGGTCTCATAACTTTAATAAGTCCACAAACAAATTGCTGCAGTAATGTAGTTAGCTCAATTAGCTTTTGGATCTATTCACTAGTCAGAAGTAAAGGTCATTTTCTATTAAAATATTTCCCTCCCTCTTGCTTATTGCCCTTTGCAACTTATGGGAGTTTAATATTAGAAATCCTGTCTATGCTGTGTCAGGAAGAAGGCAGAAGGATGAAGCAGAAAAATACCATATTCTTAGCTAACAAAACACAGACATTGCCCAAAGAGAACATCTGCCTTTTTTCGTGAACAAGTCTAATCGTGGCAAATTGTTAACACCTTGAAGGGGAATTTCATCCAAGGGCAAACTTTAACATATTTCATACTTGCACATAAAAACACATTTCATTTGGGTTTCCATACTTTTTCATGTCCACGCCCTTCTATTGGTTTATCAATGGCTAATTTGGAAAGTAATTCAACCTATGTTCCATTTTGGTGGATGCATTTTAATGACTGCAATTATTTGCACATGCAGATGATACCATAGAAACATAAAACTATGTTGATGCAGACATACTCCAGAGGTGAGTTATTTTGGACTGGCAAAATTGGGAGTACAATTATTTGCTTACTTGCAATTGCATGTCACCAAAACATAGATCACAATTTCAAAAACCTTGGATATATTTGTGCATCAAAAACGGCTTGTCCACCTTGCAACCCATCTTATCCTCCCTCATGGGGGTCTACACTAGTGTCACAATGAATAATTTGACATTATTATTGCCATGGCAACAGACTGATGTCATGCACATACAGGATTATGACTGACATTGTGGCAGGATTTAAGAAAACAAAAAAAAGCTGGGTGGAAAGGGAGAAAAACACAGCTTCAGTACTAATGGGGGAAACAGAATATCACTGGCACACTAGCATTGTTTTATTTTAAAAATCTGCTATTTCATGCTTTTCCTACTTTCAACATCATTCTTGAAGCAAAATCCTAAGCAACACCTGAAACAGCCTGTGAAAAGATTCTTCACTCTAGGCTGGCAGGAACAATATCCTCAACATTTTGACCACTGAAGACCAAGTCGGGTGTGACGCTTGTAAACACCACAGGCAGCGTGGTACTAACAACAATCAATATATCCCTATCTAGGGAGAGATTTTGGCCACTGGTGGAGTGTAAATTGGAATCAACAGGCACATCTCCACAAGCACACACATGCAGGGGCGTGCATTTTCCATGTGACAAATAGCAGCAGTACATATTTGTGCCGCGGCTATTTGTCCCCAGGCACGCTCCTGCACACATGCTCCAGTGCATGGCAAAGTGACCCATGTGGGGTAGGAGATGCAGGAGCCAGCACCTGTGCTGGCCTCAGCAGCCTTACCTGGGGTCCTGGGGGCCTCCCAGGGCAGCAGCTGTGCTGAACCAGCTGCTCAGAGCACGCCTGGCAGCCAGAGCATGGCTCTGGCCAGCCAGGCTCTGGTTTGCTGCAGCACATGCTGCTGCCGTGTGCACCATGCCGCTTTTTTCAGCAGTGATTTTTTCTGACACTGGGATCTCTCAGTGTCAAAAAAACCCATTGTGCTGAAATGAGCAGTGCACGTGTGCTGTGTGCAGTGCCTCAAGCTGCTTTGAGGTACCGCAAAATGCACATGCGCACTCATGGGGACACACCCAATTTGTTTGTTGATTGTGCTCCTGGCTTTGGTGGAGAGATGCAGAGAGAACTTAGAGAAGTGCCCTAGGATTCAGTTTTCATTTTAATGTCATGGTTCTCGTCTAAAATATCAGAAGACATTTATTTGCATATTTTCTGAGATACTTGTTAGATGCTCAGCTTGATTAGAAATCTCTTCTGTTTTCACTGTGTTTATATGCATTCACAGAAAGACAGATGTAAACCATTAGGAATATGATAAAATAACATCTGTTAAGTATTTTTAAAGCTAATGACTGCTAAGTTTTCATAAGGTTCAACAGGCGGTACCAAGGAATACAACAGGCAATAAATACTAAGACCAGGATGGAAACAGTCTTTTATTCTAAATTTTATATGTACAAGGACAGCTATTTTACACAGTTTTGTAAACTCTGTGTAAAAGAACCATAGTCATCCAACATCGATGTGTTTACATTAGTAACAATTTTTAAACATGGATTACATTATTAACAGCAAAAACCATTACAAACAGGCATAAAAGACACAGTTATGTGTGCTGAAATTTCACATATATTCTAAAAACAGGTTGACGCAAAAATAAAATGTGCCGGTAAAAAAAAAAAAGGCGTATTTTAAATCACGCAATACATGATTTTTTTTCTTTCTTTCTTTTTTTCACACGATATGCTGAGCTTTTTTCTCAAGCCTTTTCACATCAGGATTTGCAGGCACTTTAGCAACCCAGCTATATGTTTACAATACAAGAAGTTCAGACCAACAAACATAAAAACAGCTGCTGCAAAAGAAATTCTCATATCCCATATGCACATTAAAATATCACTGTTAGAGCAATCATTTTGCTTCGGTTATTTTTGGACACTGACACGCTTTTGGGATGATGTGTAACATTTTTTTCTCCATTTATCTCTTCTGCAAACACTTCAGAGTTTATTTCTGATGTGAAACCACAATGCAAAGATACAGCATATGGAAGCACAAGGCAATTGCCCACAAGACTTTACAGGTTGTAGAAAAATCCTATTTTCAGGGTTTTTTGATCCAAAAATGTCCAATTTCATTTTTCTCTTGCTTTGAGTCCCCCTCCCAAGCCTGACAAAATAAAACCAGATTATCAACATATAAAGGATGATGGTGGGATGATTCTTCCCCTCATTCTTTTCTTATATATGGTTTTCATCTGATCAAATTCATGTTTATGAAAAACAATATATAACCCAGTTGCTGGTTTTCCACTATACCCTATACTCATGTAAGAACAGATATATCTGCTATGCCTTGACTGAGATTTTATTTATAAATATAATAGCCTCTCTCTAGTTATTTCCCTGGTAATACATTGTGTGTGAAAATAGAAGACAAATGTAACAGGATTCCCAGGAACACTGAAAGCCAGAATATTGTTTTGCTCACAAATCAGGATAAATATTTTTCTATAAGTGCAGGGGGGTGGGGGGAGAGGGAATGCACATGTGCATAGTAGGAAAAAAAATTTCAGCATATAGACAGTTAAATATTGATCAACAAAGACTGTAAATGACTCCACCATAAAACATCTTAAAGTGATATCCTGAGTGGACTTGAGCCCTATCCACTCCAAAGTGATATGTAACCCTCCCCTTACCCCAAGAGAAATAAAAAAAAAAAATATATGTCAATGCTTTCTTCAACTTCAAATTCATTAATTTTATGCCACAGTGTTGTATGTTGGTGTAATAACTCACTGAAAAACAGAATGCATTATAACAAATTCTTATAAGCCATTGACAGCCATTGGACTGGGCTAGGATGCTCGATAACCAAGGGAGACATGTTGCTTACCTAAGGTATGATTGTCAAATGGTGGAAAATCCTTCCATGAATATAACACTTGAGACAGAATGGCAAAGACATAAGGCCCACCAACTCTTTGCCTATATTGTTAAAGGCACTGAAACAGACAACACATATACCCCTTAGTACCATCAGTTTAAAAAGTTTTCAAAATACGAGTCTTTATATGAAATTGTTCCTTATTGCGTGATACATTGATCTTCTTTTGCTTCAGTTCAAGAATAAAATGGTCTTCCCTTTTCCGGCGTTTGTAATCTGTTCAGCCTAGCTACCTGAGAAGGTGAAGGTGGTACATCTTGCCGAAAAGGGCCTTTTGGAGAAGTATAATTAAGGTCCTGAATTTTTTTATATGAGTCATAATTGTTAGACCCTTCAGAAGATGTCTTTTTTTTCAGTTGTTGTTCTTTCCGCCTCTGTTCTTGACGGAGCAGTTCCTGTGTTTCCAGCATTACCCTTGCATTGAAGCCATGTCCTCCCATGTAGCCGTTTCTTGATCCCTGATAGCTGGAATACCTGGGGTTTTCTTTTGCAGTCTGGAACCCTTCACCAGGAGAATAGCTCTGCTCCCAGGAATCTTGTGATACAGAACTGGCATTTTTTCTGCTTTGCCTGAAAATAAGAATGGAAATTATTTTTTAAACAGATACCAGGACTCGTTCATACTTCTTTAGATCCAGCCACAGAAGAAGACTAGGCATGCATCTGTACATTTCAGATTCTTCCCTCTGGATGGATCCAACTTCCAGCTGATGTCAGCTTTGGAGCTGGTAGAATTCTTAAAAAGTGTTCCTCTCTTTCACCCAAAGTGGCTGGTTTTTTTTCTTTCACTTAGCATAAATGCATCTGCATTTTAGATGCATTTCCTGGCTCTTTCACTTAGAAGAAATGCATCTGCATTTTAGATGCATTTCCTGGCACTACCATAGAGATACTGTGAATTTGGCAAACAGTACAACAGCGATAATTAGTATCTTAAAAAAATGTTACAATTCAATTGCAAACCAGCAAAACATATGACACAACGCAACACTTCCACAGAAACCAGATAACATTAAGTGTGTTGAATGGGTTATAAGTCACTTATGAAAGATCTGAATCTAGCCTCCTATTTGATTAAAATTGCAACAAGACGATCCTTTAAACATTTGCTTTGAAGCTGTACAAGTCAGCAGATAAACTCTCCGTTGATATATAGTTATACAGACTAGGGTTTGTTTTTCCCGATTCCAGAATTAAAGAGTTTCATACTATCACAACTGTTTCCCAGCATGCTATATCTTTCACAAAAAGAATGGCTAAGATAACCAATTTTGTTCATTTTCTGACTCCACAGGGTAGATAAATAAAGCCAATGAATATAGGAATTACGAATTCTTATCACTTTTTGTAATAAATCACCATATTATTTTAAGAAAACGTTATTGTTTTGAAATATCTTTAATTTACTATCAAGCCACTAGACATTTTTATGAATTTAAAATAAGATTGGATATGATAAAGTAAGACAATTTTGTGCTGGAATGAGAGAGATACCCACTTTGAGATTAAAATTAGTGTAAAAGAATCAGGCAATAAAACAAAATATATTGCCACATTAATCAATACAAAAATCATCTAGTTGCTGTATATATGGCTCAGTTTTTCATGTCAACACAGAGTAACAACAAGGCTCAATTTGGCCTAGTGGTTTGAACATGCAGTTTGGAATCAGGAGACCTGGATACTTTTCCTAACGTCAATCTATGTGGCAAGTCACTTAACCTTGCCGGGCTTTAACTTGGAAATGATGGGGAGTACCCATGTTTATAACCAAACTTGAGATCTTGGATGAAAATGCTTAGTTTTAAGTATGAGTGCAAAGCATTACTATTGGTGATGATAATCACATACCCCTCTTTCTAAACCAAAACACTGACTGAACCATGTTCTATTATTACTGAAACAGGAAAAAATGAAATGAACCTCCTTATGGTACATAGCTGACAAGTTTTCAAAATATGGCAACATAAATTTTCATAAAGTTTGGCTACATAAAGTTAGCCTTAAAAACCACACTGAGTTAAACTTTATTTTAAACAGTTTCACATGGGACAGGACAATAACTAATTGAATCCATTTAATTTAATTACTGTCTTCTTGTACTAGTTCAAAATTAGTAGGCCCACTTGTGTTGTCTTCATGGAAAGATTTCTTAAGTATGACTGAGGAGTATATTTGCCTAGAGCACTAATTATTTTAATTTAAAGAGTCAAAAAATGAAGCTGCTAGAAATTACGCAAGATGGGAAAAAAACAAAGTTTAAGAATAAAGCTAGGGCATTGATGTTAATCATAAAACTGTGATTGCAACAATAAACTTGCAACACAAGTATTATTAGTGACTGTGAGATTTCTTTGTAGATTAGTCATAGTGCTATGAAAAATCTGGATGACTAAAGAACTGACTGACGTCCCATTTTATTGTTTGAATGTTGGATTAACTCTGTATTTGGAGCACGATCATCTAAATATTCCCTTTAACCTGAGCTGAGAACAAACACTTGGAGAATGATTTCAACAGTTATAAAGCAGTCATGAATGACACATTAATAAGAATTCTTAATTTACTTGACATTTCTTTTACTAATCAAGCTACTCAGTACATTTCTCTTTTACTATCTTCTGTTGACTTCTCTGAGTTCCCAAAGATGTTTGGCTTCTTTTGATTTGGTTGGCTTTTTTGTTTTGCTTTCAAATTTTTATTTAAAATCATGAATTTCTACCAGTGGAACTCTGCAGAACAACCGATCTCTAGCTTTTAGGGAAAGCTAACACACAGTATTTAGGCAGATAAATCTTTCAAAAATAGAGTTCATGCTTCCTTATGTGACTTGCTGGAACTAACAAGATTGAAATGGCCTGCAGGTCCTAGGCACTGGTTCAAGCAAGCCCTTAAGTTATAAAGAGCTTATCATTTTCTTACCACCAGGTTTTTCTAACCGAAGCTTTTCTGTCTCTTGTTTATAACATACCAGTTTCCTGGTAGAGCTGCATCCATTGAGAATTACAAGGTGTGAAAAATCCTAGCACTGACAAGGGTAGAGAGGCTTCCTATACCCCTTTCTTCATATTCATGTTCTAACAAGTCCTTTGTTATCTTAGATCATGCTGAAATTATACTCAGTCACATTCTTTTTTTTACATTATATACTCCAAGGTAGCATGTTCCTGTAGCGCGGTGGGCAGAGCAGTGTGGGGAGCAGAATGGGGGTGGGGAGGGAAAGGAAAAGAGTTTTACCTTTCTCGGCTCTTTTCTTACTCTGAGAGCAGCTCCTGTGGCTGCTGTAGTATGTGCTCAAGCTGCTGCAGCTGAGGGGCACCAGGATGCTCCCAACCCCTGGGAGTCTTTGCTGTGACAGCCATAGAAGCCAGGCAGCCCTGGGTCCTGTAGTGTATGGGGTCAGAGGGGATGAGCTGAATGGCAAGCCCTCCCTGGGATTTTTGCCATGAGCCCATGGTGGTATACAGCAAGCCTGCCCTTCAGCTGCAGCAACATTACAGAGCACAGGGCTGCCTGGCATCTATGGCTGGGTGGTGCAGGGCTGCCCCCCAGGGTGGGGAATGGAGCTATTTAGGTGTCCCCTCTAAGTTGGTGGCTGGGACAGGTGCCCTGCTCACCCCACCATAGTTATGCTACTGTATATACCTCCAGTATATACCTCCATTACTTTGCCCTTTGAAAACCAGATTAAAAAGATCTAAAATCTACTTTTTCCTCATGGAGACAAATTTGGCGTTGTAGACTAAATCATTTTAGAAATAAGACAGAGGTAAGAAGAGCTGTATGAGAAAATTAAGAAAATTTTCAAAATATCAACTTTCCTCTCTCCCTTTTTAAAAACAAACTAACAAACATATTTTTTCTTATTTTCTTCCAAATGCTACCCTGAGATGAGTTGCGGTGTACAGAAATCTCAAGAGATCAGGTTGTATTTTTTTAGAGGCTGATGGTAACAATGGGGTGCAAAATCAAAGATTTAATGGTAAGCTGGCTCAGCTGTAACAAAGACGCATCTACTGGTTTTGCATTATAAAACAGTTCTACTGCCACTTTTACAAGGTTTTAGTGGAGATGTGTATACAACCATTACCTGCCCCACAAAATCACTGTGTAGGGATCAAAGCAAATACAGTATTATATTGAAGCTGCAACTGAAATCAAAGAAGTCTTTAAGCTTAAAGTACTCTTGAGAAAAGGCCACTTGACTTTACGACTATTCTTATTTCAGATTTCTCCTATCAATGTTTGAGAATTCTAAAAACTATCTGAATTAATATAAAATGTTTAAATATCACTCTTCTGGTCTAATCTACAATGCAAGTTGGGTAAAATCCCAAACCTTTGTTTTATTTCGTATTTAGCTTTTGTGATGAACTCTAAACAGTTCATTGGCCTGTGAATGTTTTAGAAATACACATTTGTTTACACTAAGGTATGTTAATTGTGAGCATTCCAATGGTCATGATCAACAGATTTGAGAAAACTCACGTCAGAAACATGGATGACCCATAGTTGGGAATGGCTTTTCATGGTTGTCACCATGGTCTATCTATCTTGTTTTCTTCAATGCATGGCTGTGTGTTAGCATAACAAGGTTGAATTGTTGTCTGTTAAGAAATTGGGCAACACAAGAAATCTGACATACAAAATATTCCTCTCTCCTCTAATAAATGTCATTTTTTTCTAAAAGTGAAAAATGATACCATACAGTGACCCATAAGGACCTGTGTGTTAAGGTTCCCATTCTGTCACATACTGAGCATGCTGGATGCCCATAAAAGTTGACTCTGAAATAATACCATGAGACAAACAGCCATCATATGCTTCTCCTTATGGACTTCTATGCCTATTCCTCACTACTTGCATAACTCCTCATATCATCATTCAAAATGAAGAGCATGCACTAAGCACATAATTTTCCTTCTGCAAATGAAATGAGCTCCAGGGTCATATACACCAAATAGTTTTAGACAGTTACCATACCTGGGTAATGAACTGTACTGGCGCTGAGCTTGCTGAAAACTCTCCCTCTCTTCCTGTCTCTGCCGCTGCATCTGAACTTCTACAGACACAGAGTGTCTGCCACTCTGTGAATATGTCTTGGAGCTTGGCTAGAGAATAAAAAAATAAAAAACAAATCAGCCACAATACAAATATATTTACATAGGAACAAATAATTAAATCCCTGTTGTATAGACACAGACATATGCTTTTTTTATAAACATGCTGTTTAAATCAGTAATTCATAATTACATAAAATTCTGCCCTTTAACACTATGCCCTCTGCTGTAGGCTACATTTCAGGCTGCTTCCATTTTGAAACATTATCAGATAAATCATAAGGACCAGGTTGTGATATACTTTTATACTGAGGAAAACAGAACTCCTTGTAAAGTAATGAACAAGACCCTCACCTGGTTTAGAGGAACAAAGTTAGAGTGGCATGTGTCTAGTTACAAACCAGATGATGGTCTGACCCAACGATACTCCTCATGGAGTGATGCGACTAAGGCTATCACAATCTGGCCCTAAACACTGCATCAACATGTTTTAGAGTAAAGGTACCCGTCCTTGTCCTAATGCAGTAATATGCCCATGTAGAGCTGGATCCTCTTCTCAGTTGTCCATTGTGCAAAATGGTCAAATGTGTCTGAGGGATTTCTCTCTGCTGTGAAAGAAGCCACAACACTGCCTCTTGCATTTCTCCCACTAAAGATGCACTGCCTTCTATATGGGTGGGAAGCAGATGAGGGAAAGAAAAAGAATGGGTAGGGATCATGCCATTTGGCCCATCAGCTTTACATTCCACTGACCCCAGCCAAAGCAGGATTAGGGACATGCAATGAGTTCCTGTGACCCCCTTTCACTGTGTGCAGAGATAGAATTCAGGTACAGCGGAGAATTCAATCTATTGTTTCCTGATTGCCTTTTAACAGCAGCTCTATACAAAGTACTACCAGAAATATAGGAAGATCCCATTGGAACACTCTGCCCTCTAACTCGAAGCTGGTGTGTCTATGTTTAGAGAAAGAAAAGTAAAGACTGCAGATTTAGTTAAGTCCGTATTTTTAGAGGTGCTGAGCATGCACAACTCAAGGCTCCAGTCCATCCTTATAGCGCAAAAAGGTACATAAAACCAATATACAGTATATTGTGCAGTGGGCATCCTTTGTCCCAGAAACAGACAAGAGGCAAAGGATATGATTTAATTTTACTGAAAATGTATGATCTTAACTCAGCTCATCTGGGAACTACTGAGTCAGTGCAGGACCCAAGCCCTTCCATAATCATTCTACCTGTGTTCAGCCCTTTACTGGGACCAACTGTTTTTCCTTCTATCTCAGAGCTAACAGGCAGACAAAAGGAGATTATACCTATTGTCAGGAGCCCCAATGTCAATTCCTGCT